TGATTCTTCTCTGTCCCTATGGGGTCAGGCAGCTACATGCTACTGACAAATGCCCCCTGCCCAGTCTTTGACCAGCTTTTCAACCTTATGGGGGAGGGGCCCTGATAACGGCGCCCCAATGCCAGCTCAAAGCAGTTCCAGAAGAGAATACGTGGTCCCATATTCCTTGTTCAGAAAAGGCTGAAGTGCTGGGTCAAAAGAAAACTCTCTGTCATAGAGACAAGATGGCTAACTATACATGAACTATGCATGGCCATTACAGGCCATGAGTTACTAAATGTAATACCATAATTTTAAGATTAAAATTTGCCAAAAAGAAAATGGGGGAATGAAAGACCCTAGCCCTTCAGGCTTACACCCCCAAGCCTCAGGAAAAGGAGGAACTTCAAACACCAGGAAATGAGAAACTAAAAATCTAGTTCTAAGTGCAAGCTGACTCAGCCATTGTTCAATCTCCCCTGCAACCATATAACAATATAGAGAGATTTCTATTAAGAGATGTGTTCAACTGTGACTGGGATAGTGGCAGGTGTTCCAGAAAGGACCACTGTGGCCTTTGTGTAAACTCCACTCCCACCCTGATACCCCCCCTTGAGGTTTCAGGAAAAATGTACCTGTTGACGTAACTGTACCCTCTCTGTGATTACTCTGCAACCAGACCATGATCTTGTGAAATGAAATTGTATGGGAATTGTAATCTTATGGCTTTTGTGGGTTTTTCCTTTAAAAGCCCCCATGGGGCTGGAGTAAGATGCAGCTCTTGTTCTTGAGAGCAGAGTTTGCCCTTCTGTACAGAAGCTTCAAAAATAAATCCTCGTGCTTTTGCATCAACTGGACTGGAGTCTGGGTTCTTGGAGCGCCTACTTGAGACCCTAAATTTTGGGGTCCAACATGGATTGGGGGAAAGCACTTGTAGCTGTGCCACAAAGTCAGACATCTCAGAGGGAAAAAATGAGTTGATATATGTAAAATGCTTAGAACTATGCATGGAATGGGTAAATGTCTAATGAATAGCAGATATAGCCCTAAGAGTCCTATAGGTAGTTTGTTCCCCTCTCCTTGACTTCTCCCTGTGGTTGCACTCACGGGCAAAACTTTGCCACTGTAGTGTCTCCTGTCTCTTCCCCAGTGGTACTGCCCACAAGGTGACTTTCCCACCCTGAACTCCCTCACAACCTCTAGGATTCCTTACCAGAAGGGAAGTACCCTGATATCTCTCTCTTCCTCCTCAAGGGTATTTTCTAGAGAATCATTGTACCTACCTGATTTAACCCATTTCTTCCAGTGCTATCATTCAGAAGAGGATGGGCCCATCCTGAATTTCCATCCCTTTCCTATACTTGCAACGCTTAGGAGATAAGTTCTTTCTTGCTCTCATGTCATACATAGAGGGCCACTTCAGCTTCTATAAGTAATGAAGATCCTACAGCTCAGATCCAAACACTCTAGTCCAGATTGGCACATCTTTACCCCCTAACCACCTAAAGCAAGGTGACATCCTTATTTATATGTGAAGGGTACCTTTCGAAGATGGTGGTCCCTGCAAGTAAGCTCCCCAAAAGTTCTATGATATTCCCTGGTCTACAAAGCAATTCCTAGGAAAACCAGGGCTGTTACAAAGAGAAACCCTGTCTCAAAAAAAAGCTAAAAAGGAGAAAAGAAAGAAAGAAAAGAAAAGTGAGGACACCCAGCAAACACTACTATAAAGTATGAAGAAAAACAGGTGAGTTCAGGGAGAAAGCAGGACCTGAGTATCTGATTACTTGGGGGTAGATATCAACTGAATGACATATAAGCTACTAGGGAGTTAAACTAGAACTTTTAGTGAACTTCTAAGTGTCAAACGTAGGTTAGTGTGACAGTGTGAAGTTCTTGGGAACTGCAGGCATAGGACATTTCAATGGGTTTGCAAACTCTTACAGTAGAAGGGTCAAAAGAAACTCTTCCTTTTTCAGGGTGCTGGCTAAGGAAACTACTGTGAAATCCATCCAGATTCACTTCACACAGAAAAGGTTTAGTCTCCAGGGGAAAATGAACCAAAGCCTACACCCTGTAAACACTGGTAGGGTTTTACTTCAGGTAGGTGAAAGGAAAAGTGGGGACAATCAAACTCTACTTTTTATCTATCCTAAACACAGATCCACAGTGCCTATCAAAGATGGAGCTTAATCAGAATAGCAAAGATGTCTCTCACACTAAGCTTGAGCACCTCACTAACAAGCAAAAGAAACTGACACATGACTGGGGGGACAAGAAGAGAGACTTTGTTTGAGAATAGGAACAAAGGGATAATCCAAGCCAAGTGAGAAGACAGAGACAAGATACATAAAGGAAAGCTTCAATAGGTGTAACTATAACAACAAAAAATAGCAAACACAGTTGGATTCTTGATTAGATAAAAATCTCCACACAAGACCCAAGAAGAGGAAACATCTATTATTGAGGTTGAAAAAGAAGGATTTATAAGCAGAAACAGATGAAGACTCTACTGACTCCACCAAATGACTACTAGAACTGATTAAAAAAAATCAGCAAAGTAGCAGAAAACAAAATCAACATTCAAAAATTGATTTTCTATACACCAATGATGAGTTTACTGAGACATACATCATGAAATCAGTATCATTCACACCAGCTACCAAAAAAGAACAAAATATCTCATAATTTTTACCAGGAGATGTAAAGAAAGGTCTGTTCACTGCAAATGAACGGGTATCAGCAAGCCAACAGGATCCTGTCCAAGTCAAGTTTGATGAATAAATATTGGGATGAATTATTGGAACATGAATGACTCAAAGACAGCTACACAACTAAGAAATTCAGAACAACTCATAGGCAGATATCCCATTGACTATTCCCATCTGCACCATGAGGAACTCACAAAAAGCTGTACCACTGGATAGTCCCACTTGCAGCATGAATGGTTCATGAGAAGCTATGCTACTTCATTTGCCCAGGAAATGTACAGGCAGCTATGCTTCCAAAGATTTCCACCCTAGCCCATTTGTTTACCACTTATATATAATCTTGAGAGAGGAGGGTCTTTGTGAGGATCTTGACCCCATGACGTCATGAACCTCTCTACTCTCTCAACAAAGAATATTAATAGGCCAGATTCTGTGACAATCTCATAAAAGCTTCATGAGGATCTTGAAAGTTCACTGAGACTCAAGAAGCCTCCCTTCTCCTTCCATGTGGGAATGTTAATAGGCCAGGTCTCATAAAAGTCTCATTCAAGTGATTACATCTGCTCTGATTCAAGATAGTAATGGCTATGCCCAACACAGCTCTACCTTGCTCCAACTCACATTCTTTCCATGCCTTCTTCTGCAGTGTTCCCTAAGATGTAGAATGATATAGGTGTATGATTACTTCCTTCCACCTTGGGCAGCTAGCTATACCACAGCAAAAAAATGTAGAATACAGCAACAAAAATATTCCTTGCAGTTCAACCAGTTATGAATCTTCTATAGTAACCACCTCCCACTATAAAAAGAAGTATTCTTTCTCTATGTCAGTCAACAGCAGTAATCTACAATCCATCCATCCTACGGACTGAACTTAGGCTTTCAGACTTGTTAGCAAGCACCTTTTACCCACTGAGCCATTTTGCTAGTCCAAAGCATCTTTCAAGTTAAAAAAGAAAAATTTGCATGAAATGTAGTTAATAGACTTACATAGACCCAACTCTAGTCCATCCGAACTGTTTTCCTTACCAAATAAAGATTAACTAAATATTTTCTAACTCCCTAATATCCATTTTAAGCACATTTTAAACACCTGTAACATGGGATTTTTTTTTCCAAGAAAAAGGTTTTTCTGTGTAGCCCTTGCTTTCCTGGAACTCACTCTGTAGACCAGGCTAGCTTCGAACTCAGAGATACTCCTGCCTCTGCCTCCTGAGTGTTGGGATTAAAGGCGTGTGCCACCACCACCCAGCCATGCATTTTTTTAAATTTCAATATTTCCTTTACAACCATCGTGTTTTATGAACAACGAGATATTTGATTTGCTTAGGTTTTGAGCATTTGAAGAAAAACCCAATAAAACTTGGTTTTACATACTGAATGCAAGAATAATCTGGAAAAGCTTTCTTGATAGGGGTAAGTGCTCTAGGACCTTCAAAGGGGAACAGCATTTAGGAGATTCTAGTGTCTAGGTTATCCTCCAGGCTCAGCCCTTCACTTGCTAAGCTAAATGCTACTGTTTAAAAGGAAAACAAAGAGATCCACAATGTGGTTGCTGGGACAAAAAAAAAAAAAGGAAAACAAAGAAATTTGTTTTGTTTTGTTTTGTTTTGTTTTGTTTTTGAGACAGGGTTTCTCTGTGTAGTTTTGGTGCCTGTCTTGGATCTAGCTCTGTAGACCAGGCTGGCCTCAAACTCACAAAGATCCTCCTGGCTCTGCCTCCCAAGTGCTGGGATTAAAGGCGTGTGCCACCACCGTCCAGCAACAAAGAATATTTTTATCTGAAAATAAATTAATAGAAAATCTACACATTTAAATAAAAATAGCAGGAACTATTTAGTCTGGGAGGAGTTGAAGGGAAGGAGTAGGGAATGAATATGATGAAAATACATTGCATACGTGTATGAAATTCTCAAAGAATAGAAATGATTTTAAAAGAAAAAAACGGGGCTCTACATAAATAGATCAGTGGTTAAGAGTACTGGCTATTCTTGTAGAGGCCCAGAGCTCACAAATGGTGAGTAGCTCCAGCTCCGGGGATCCAACATACTCTTTTAGCCTTCACAGGCACTGCACGCACATAGTGCACCAACATGCAGACAAAACAGATAAAATAAGAAAATTTCTTAAGAGTGAAGAGGGGGCTACAGAAATGGCTCAGCAATTAAGAGCACAAAAGGTCTTGCAGAGGACGTAAACTCCGTTACTAGCACCCACAACTAGCTCACAACTGCATGTAACTCTAGAACGCGCGCGCGCGCACACGGGGGGGGGGGATAAATAAATTGTAAACGATTAACTCCCTGTTCCTACCTTCCTGTGAGTCCAGCTTCCCTCAGAACCCGCCAAATATCATTAACTTCACCTGAACCAGCAACCTGCGGGCTCAAGACCATTGACATTCTAGCAGACTGCTGGCCCGCTCTCTAGGTTGGATTTAATCTCCAGGGGTTTATTAAGACCTGCCTGCGGCACTTCCCTGTAAGTGGGTCTTCTCTCTCCCATTCTGGACTGCCCCTTCCCACCAATTTGGTTGGCTCCCATGCTGGAAATACGTCATCTACACGCGCCACCCGGAAGCCGCGGTTCATACAGTTATTGCCGGTGGACCTAAGGTAAGCACCGCGCTTGGGTGCCGGTGAGTGAATGAGTCGGGTTGGGCTGAAGGAGGAACCCCGTAGCACGAGCCGAAAGAAGTCATCCCCAACATTGAGAGGTTGGAGAGAACTTTGTGAAGTTAAACAGGAGCGCTCAACGTGGTTTCCCCCCCTCCTCACTCCCCAGGAGCCCATCATGGCGACACCCCCCAAACGGCGGGCTTTGGATACTGTGGGAGAGAAAGTGCTGCGGTACGAGGCCTTTATCAGTGACGTACTGCAGCGAGACTTGCAGTGAGTGACCACGCAGATTCTAGGCGTGACGTTTGAGAAATTCCATGTGGTGGGTGGGACAGAATCCCGGCCAAACTTTCGGATTGGCCGGGAAGCGAGTTTGATGTCCGGGCTGCGATTTGGTTGGAACTTGGCCCTTGTAGCAGAGCCTCTGATGTTGTTTGTCGGATTAAATAGTCATTATGAACCCACGATGTTTCTGACTGGGCCATTTAACCATTACTTATGAACAAGTTGTGCCTCACCTTTCCTCTCTATGCTTTATGAACTTTCCTCATCTGTGAAATGGGAAAGTTTATGGGGCCTTCTTAATGTGGTGGGTTTGAGTTTTAAATGTGTCAGCCCAGGTAAAGAATGTAACCCAAAGCCAAGCGTGATAACACAGGACTGTAATTCCAGCACGAGGGAGGCAGAAGCAGGAGGATCTTCGAAAGCTGGAGACTAGCCTGGGCTATAAACTGATTGTCTCAAAAGAAAATAATTAGAATGAAACCAGGCTCAGGCTCTCTGGTGCATGCTAGTACTATCTAGTGGAGAGGTGGGAAAATTCATTTCTTTAGCCAGGGTGTTCAAGCCAGCCTTGGCAATAGAACACGATTCTATTTAAAAAAAAAAAAATTAAAACTCCCAGTATGGTGACACAGGCCTGTAATCCCTGTACAAGGATGGGTGAAGCAAGAGGATCCAGAGCTCAAGATCATCCTCAGCTACATTTCAAAGTTGAATACAGCCTAGGCTCTGGGACTATGTCTCAAAAAAAGAAAAAAAAAAGAGCCAGCAAGATGGTTTGCCTTGCCCCCAAACCCATGTCCTGAGCTAGCTCTCTGGGATCCACATTGTGGAAGGGAAAAAACCCCCAAAGGCTGTCTCCTGAATTACACATGTGGACCATGGCACCCAGACATATACACAAAATAAATATATTAAGTAAGAATACTTTTTTTAAATTCACATAAACCCAACTATTATTATATTAAGGCTGAGAAGAAAGGATTGTCTGGTGTGCTTGCATATTCAATGCTAGCCTGGGAAACTCAGCTCTTGTCTCAGAAAATAAAACAAATAACCTGGATAAGCTGTTTTGAAAAAGGAATTTAACTCCAGTGCCTGAAACACACTAAAGACTCAATAACTAGATGATTACTATTATCTGAACAGAAAGTTAGGTATTCAGAACTCGAGTTGTGTGAGCATCCTAAAGGAGATGGGGGATATATTTAGGATGAAGATGGGACATTTTAATTGGCATAAAGTATTGAGTAAAATGCAATATTTGTAGTAGTAATAGATAGTGCTTATCATTTGGCTGGAATTTAAAACACTTGGTAGTAAACACTTGATTCTAATGAGTCCTATGAGGTAATACTGTCATCTCTATTTTATATGTGGGGAAACTAAATCCCAAACAGGTTTCCTACTTGCCAAAGACACATTGCTAGTAAGAGGTAGAGCTCGGGATGAAATACAGTCTGACTTGTATTTATTAAAATACTTGGTGTGTTTTTCTCTGTCTATACTCCACCGTGTGTGTGTGTGTGTGTGTGTGTGTGTGTGTGTGTGTGTGTTTAAGTGTGTGTTTAACAAAGGGTCTCACTATGTAGCCCAGACTGGCCTTGAACTCATAATCCTCCTGCCTCAGTCTTTGAGTTATTGGGATTGCATTCGTGAACTGCCACACCTGGCTTAAAATGCCTGTTAGGCCATGATGTGAGGTATCTCAAGAGAAATAGGGCTGCCTAATGTTCACTATTGTATTTCTACATATCAGAAAGGTGCTGGATCATCGAGACAAGGTATATGAGCAGCTGTCTGTATACCTTCAACTGAGAAATGTCATTGAGCGACTCCAGGTAAAGGCTTTTAAATTGGGTATCAGTTTGTGTGTGTGTACAAAGAAGGAAGGTGGGAAGAGAAACCCAGAACAAAACCTTTTACCTGCCTTAAAATTGGCCACTGACACCTACTTCTTTTCTCCTGGACCTACAGGAAACTAATCACTCGGACTTATATATGCAGGTGGATTTGGGCTGTAACTTCTTCGTTGACACAGTGGTGTGAGTGTATTTCTCTCCCCGCCCCCAAGTTTCTCCCTTCTTTCATTCAACAAGTATTTCCTAATATTTTCTTTTTTTGTTTTGTTTTGTTTTTTGTTTTGTTTTGTTTTGTTTTTTTGTTTTTCGAGACAGGGTGTCTTTGTGTAGCTTTGCGCCTTTCCTGGAACTCACTTTGGAGACCAGGCTAGCCTCGAACTCACAGAGATCTGCCTGCCTCTGCCTCTGCCTCCTGAGTTAAAGGATTAAAGGCATGCACCAATAAAGGCCCTAATATTTTCTATATACCAGACTTTAGTAGCTTTTATATTGCATTAGGATATAAGCTACATGCTGTGGGTGTGACAGTGAATGAACACGAAATACCTGCCCTTACGGAGCCTTCACTTTGGGGAATTGGAGGGAATAGGAAACACTTTAAACTGTAAAATATGCCAAATGGTAATAAAGATTTCCTCCACTTCCTCTGACTTCTTTCCTCAGCCCAGATACTTCACGCATCTATGTGGCCCTGGGATATGGTTTTTTCCTGGAGTTGACACTGGCTGAAGCTCTCAAGTTCATTGACCGAAAGAGTTCTCTCCTCACAGAGTGAGTTCATTCCATGAGGATAGTGTCTAAAATCACCTGTATGCAGGGCAGTGGTACAGCATTTGCCTAGAATGTGTAAAGCTCTGGGTTCTATCCCAATCACACACCATACACAGACAGACACACAAAATACATAAAAGCCAGATATAGTGGTACCCACCTATAATCCTAGGACTTGTGAAACAGGAGGATCCTGAGTTTGAGGCCAGTCAGAGTGATAACACAAAGCCCTGTCTATTTAAAAAAATGAATAAATAGACATCACAAATTTTAACATTCTATCCTTTTTCCCCATGACTATCTGAAATGGTACTTGGAAAACCATACTACCTTCCTCTTTAGGGCTAGGGCTAAGAAAAGTGAGGATGCAAAGTTCAACCAGGGTGTAGCACGTACTAAACACTCAATAAATGGTTTTTGTATCATTCCTTCACACAAATTTATTGAGCATCTTATGTATACCAGGTTGTGTGGTTGGTGTTGGGAATACAGCAGTAAACAAAACAGAAGAGTCTTACATTCTAGGACTATGCTATTGTACATACATACATCTGTGACCACATCCATGAGGTTTCAACCCATGATTCAGTAACAGTCAAAAAAGGTACTTCTCATTTAACTCTATTTCTAATCTACTAATATTTCTGCTTATTCACTGGGCTCTCACCACTCTAAACTTCACATTCCTGTATCCACACATGCAGAGATAATACCCTCTTGATATTGTATGTCTTATTCTCTTGTGACAGGATCTCTACCACACCTAGAGCTTGCTGGTTTTTTGGCTTCAGCAAGCTACAGTACTGTGGTTAGATAGAGGTGTGTGACTTTTTACTTTGGTACTGGGAACCAAACTCAGGTCTTTATGCTTGTGCAGCAAATGTTCTTGTCCACTGAGCCACGTCCCCAGCCTTAACACATGCTTTAAGCATTTCCCACCTTTGGGAGCATTCAGTAGCTGCTGGCATTTATCTGCAACCACTCCCCCATGTTTTATTTTTCTCCTTACTCAGTTTTCCTTCATAAATAATACTCCTGCAACAAATTCTTCTGTGACCTAACTTCAAAATTGCAACCCCTAGCATTCTTGAATTGCCCCACACACTTTAAAAAATTAGCATTAGTGTATATGTGCATGTGTGTGCATGCGCGTGTGTGCTCATATGAACATGTCTTTAGTTATATGTGCTATATAGCATGCATTTGGAGGTCAGAGAACAGCTTTGTGGAGTTGGTGCTCTCTTTCCAGGGAGTCCCTGAATGGAACTCAGATTCCCAGGCTTGTGTGGCAAGCACCTTTACCCACTGAGCCTTCTCACCAGCCATCTTCTAGTTTTTCTATTTTTCCAGCATCTTATTATCTAATATTTACTGTGAGTTTCTTTCTTTCTTGTGTTTATTGTCTTTTATAAATAAGTAATAAGCATCATTTACATATTTTACAGGGCTGGGACTTGAGGCCAAGGTCTCTTGTATGCTAAGCAAGAGCTCTGTTACTGAACTATGTCCCTGGCCCAGGTTTATAACCTGGCATTATAAAGGGAACAGTTTATACTGTAGATGACTAAAATAATGTAAAGCACAAAATTTCTGTTGAATAAATTATGCTAGAAGCAAATTGAAGAGCTGATCAAAGCTTATCTGTGTGGGTAGTGGTGGGGAGAGAAAGTGTGGGTTCCAGATGAGCTCTGGTTTTGTGTAGGGAAGAACTAGTTTGGGTGAGGAGTTTGAAATATAGGTAATAGCTGGAGAGATGGTTCAGTTGTAAAGAGCACTTGCTGCTCTTGCAAAGGACCCAGGTTCTATTTCGAGAGCCCACATAATGGTTCAGAACCTTCTGTAACTCTAGTGCCAGTGGATCTGATGCCCTCTCCTGGCCTCTGAGCACCAAGCACACAAGTGGTATACAGACATGCATGCAGGCAAAACATCATATACATGAAATAATTAGATAGAAAGTGAAGACCTTCTAGAAGGCCTGCCCTCAACTCCCATTCCCAGAGGAGTGACATTTGAATCATATTGGGTGAACAAGCCATGGGCTATCTGGGGAAAAATATTCTTGGCAAAGGGGACAGTGTGCCTGACATACTAGAAAAAGTGTCACATGTGGCATAGCTTAGAATGAGTATGAGGGGGTCAGTAAACAGTCCACTTAGATAAATATGCACTCACAAGCATGAACACCTCCATTGTAAAATTTCTCCTTGGCCATGTTTATTCCTGCATTCATTTTGTCTGGAGTTGCCTTCTTTCTGGTTTCAGTAGTTATTCTATTAAGCTTTGTGGAGTTTTTAGTTTTAGTATACCTGAGACCTGCTGAGATTTCTAAATTTTGGTGACCAAACAAATTGCCAAGTAATTTGATCAAGGGCAGTGTAATTCTGAACTGGTGGCCATTTAGAACAAGTCCAGTTTTTATAGCAATTTTTCCTCCTATGTCACCAGGGTTTTGGAGTCTTTATTTTTTTTCTTCTTGAGAATTGATGATTTTCCTCAAAATGAGGTATTCAGAGTTATCAGTGCCTGTCAGAAAGACTCCTTGCCTAGTCTTTCTAATCTTTTGACGTGCGTTCTACCAGTGTAATGAAATATATGCTTGACATATTGCTCTGTTATAACTAATAGAGCTATCTCAAAGTTTCATCATTCTAGATTAGGATTTTCAAACTTGATTACTTGGGGTTGGGGATTTAGCTCAGTGGTAGAGTGCTAGTGGGTTCAGTCCTCAGCTCGGTGGCGGGGGGGGGGGGGGGGACGACGACTTGATTACTTGGGATACACTTAAAACTAACATATTTTCTGGTTGCTTTATGTATCCAAAACTGCCTGCCAGTACTTAATTGTTTTTAATGTATCTTTCGTTATTATTATTGTTACGTGTGTGTGTGTGTGTGTGTGTGTGTGTGTGTGTGTGTGTGTGTATCACACATGTATATATAATCTATATAATCTACTGAGTCCATTTAGCTTTGTATGTACATGGGACTGGGCAACCTATTCGGGAGTTTATTCCTAAAGGAGACTAATTCTCCCTCTTTCAGCAGGCTTTAACCACTTGTAGCTCTTCATCTAGAGGTATGCCAGTGTATAATTTCCCCTTTCCACTTTGACATGTCAACTGGTGTTGACATTATGCTGGCCTTATTCATATTGTTGGGAGTTCATGGGTATAGTTTTCCGAACATGTCTAGGGAATATCTAACAGCAGACATTCTGGGCATTCTTATAATGTCTCCACCGCTTCTCTATGATTTTCCACGAGCCTTAGGTGTAGGGGTTACAATACAGATGTACCAGTTGGGTTTGGGCACCTCACAGACTCTTATTCTCTGCATTTTGGCCAATGGTGGATCTCTGTGATAGTCTTCATCTGTTGCAAAAAGAAGCTATTTTAGTGAGGGGTGACAGCTATACACTTATCTGGGAGTAAAAGGATATGTTTATAGAAAACAGACATTATATTAGTTTAGGCTATTGGGCCTATGACCGACCACTCCAGCCATGGATAGTTAGCTATGTTTACATCACCAGGCCTGAATTCCTTCCTGTTGAGCAGGCTTTAATTCCAGTGAGACAGCTGATGATTAACTCAAAGATAAAAAAAAATGCTACTCTTACATTATTGGGAATATCTTGCCAGTCAAACCATTGTTGTGGTTCATAGGTTTTACAGCTGGGTAGAACTAGGAATGATCCTCTCCCTTAGCAGCTTACATAGCACCTTGGAGAGCTAGCCATGGAGGAGACTTCCAGATTAGTTTCAGCTTGATTCCTCCTAATTTCTGTGTCTGAAGTACATGGTATTTTCAGGAGTTGAGTCTTTTTTTTTTTTTTTTTTTTCCTGAATGAGAGCCATGCTCT